ACTTGATCACAATTCAAAAATTTTACAGGTCGCAGTTCGTTCATCGGTCACAAATTAAAAATTTAAAAGTCACAATTTGTTCATCGGTCACAAATCACAAAATTTATAAGTCACACAACTTATTTTATGATCACAAAACATCACACTATAGATCACAGATTACTTGTATTGGTCATAAATTAATAAATTTGCAGGTCACGGTATTTATTGGTTACACACCAACCAATTTATTGGTCACGATCAACAAATCATTTGTGATCACCAACACCACCTTAGCCTCCGCCGTCAATACTAACACCACAAAAAGGCACCACCGCCCCCAACACCAACACCACCATCACCACCGTTTCACAACAACAAAATCACCGTTTCAAACATCGCAGCCAACATTTTCACCACCACCAATACATCAAACCGTCAACAACACTAAAACCACCGTCGCCAAAGCCACACCCATCATTACCGTCGCTGCCAAAACCACCCCAACCATTGCCATCGCCGCCGCACCACCACCACACAACCTCACGACGCCACCATAACCCACCACCACACCACAATCATGCAGCGTCAGTAGCTGCACTAATTTTAACAAAATAACATGGGACAGCAATAACCACCACCTTCACTGCGTCGCCGCCGCCTAATCCATCACCAGATCTAACAGAATCGTCGCTACCCAATCGTCGTGACGGCGACAAAGAGAGAGGAGAGTAGCGAGAAAGAGACGGGTTTAAGGGAAATGAAAAACACATCTAGCGAGAGAGAATCAGTGGCTAGTCGGGGAGCTTGGTGGAGTTTGGAGCTGGGGTGATCCGATTAGGACCGGAACCCAAAGCCGTCGGCACCAGTAGTGACACAACCGGTAGAAGGAGGTTGGGGGACTGAATATGTAGAATAATTCAATTTTTATAATAGTATTATTAATATTTAAAATTTTATTTATATCTGATTTTTGAAAAGAAAACTTTTAAATCTGAATTTTGAATTGTATTGTTTAAAACTAGGGGTGAGAGTAATTTCCTCAAATTATAATATATGTACAAGAATCATAATGTCGATGTATTAAAAATGATGTGTTGTTACCTAAATAATTGAAAAAAAAAAAATTCTCACTTCATTCTCTCGTTTCATTTCCATCCAAGATTAAACACTTCAATAGTCGCGTATACTTTTTTATATGTTCATGGCGTTGGCTTAAAACTTTCCATTACCGATAATCCACAACCAACCAAGAGCAGTACCAGAAAAAATGCCACCAAGAAGAAATAG